AGGAAGGGTCAAACCCATAACAAAAAAGCTATTTCTTTCCACTGTTTTACTAAGAACCCTTTTTCTCTATATATTCTGTTAATTATTAGAATTTTCCTTAAGTTGCTATTATGCCATGAATTTGTTTGAATTCATTTTTTTTTTTTTTTAAGAAGGTCAGGAAAAGGAGGGAAGCCAGCTAGCGAGTCTCTGTGGTTTTCTCTAAAAATTCATCCAAACTTCCCCTCTGGGCATATGAGCCTCATAGGACCCTCCAGCTGTAAGGGAGCTAGAGCCCTGGAATAGGGCCTCCTAAAGCCACCAGCTACCTAGTTTACCTAATATATGCAAATTTTACGAATACCCTGGCTCCCCTCAGAGCTTCTTAACAGCAGGTATTAGCCATTTTCCGCCTAATCTCTAGCACAGCACTCAGAACATGGTGAACACTCATGTTTGTTAAATTAACAAATGTGCCCTTTCTTCCCCAACACTCACCCTGTAGAGACTGAACTAACTCCTATGAGGGCTGCCTTCCCACTAAAGACCAGGAGGCACCACCGGGCCTGGGGAGATCCACAGCTGCCAAGCCCTTTCTGGAGGTTGGGGTGGATCAGATAAGGAATGCGTGGGCAAGAGGAAGGATCTGTGAGCCCAACCACAGGCTGGGCTACGTCTAAACAGCCATCGTTGGCTGCACTTTCAGTGACATCGATCAGCTGGCTCGGTCCTCTGAGGAGGGCAGAAAGTGGCGACGGCAGTGTCAGGCAGGAGTGCTTTCACTCCATCACTCCCTCCTGCCCTCTCTCGGCAGAATTTCCAGTTCTACCTGCTCAGCCCCTCCTTTCCCCTCCCCCACCCGTCTTCCCATTGCAAGGGAAAGTGGCATGGCGCCCAGGACCTGGCATCAAACTTCCTGTCAGCCAGCTGCTTCCTCCTGTACCGCCCCCACACTGTGAAACAAATGACACAGCTGGACTTTAGACAGAAACCCTGCTTATCAGGGAGTCCAGGCAGACGAACTCCGGGTTTTCCATGCTAGGAAACCCCCACTATGTATACACTCCCGCTGCTTCCCACAACCCTCTCTCAGGGCTGACACCCCGTCCTCAATCACATTGGATGCTTGGTCACCCAGGTCTTTCCTGAACCTCTGAAAAGGAAGCAGGTTTGAGTTTAGGGATCTCCAGGGTCTCTCCTCAAAGCTAACAGATGTGAAAAACAAGCCCCATTATTTCCTAGTCCGTCACATACAATGTGTGTTGCATTTAAATCTATCTTTGGGTGGGTTGGGGTGGGATGGGGGGATATGTGTCAGCCATTTCTATGTCCATTGAACAGGTGCCCCTTGAGCTCAGTTGACTTGGGGTGGGGACAGGGTGGATCCTAACAGCCAAGGACACAACCCTTACAAAGCCAATATGAAAAGATCTCCAGGATACAAACAAGATGCAGTAGAACATGTATGATTCTTTTAGTGTAAGAAAAGGGAGAAGACACAAATACATGTTTATACATACTTGTATCTGTATAATGAAACACTAGAAAGATACATAAGAAACCATGGGGGATATGGGGTGAACAGGAGCAAGGTGGGAATGAGATACTCCCCCCCTTTGATACCATTTTGTTTCTCGAACCATGTCAACTAATTTATTCTAAATAAATAATTTTTTTGCATCACAGCAGCTCCATCCCAAATCAGAACTGAGCAAGAGACTCCAGAGAAGCCCTGATCACAAAGAACTGAAGAAGTGAAAGTGTTCTGGAGCGGGAGGGAAAGATTAAGGTCCTGGAATTTCACTACCACTCATTTCCTAGTTCCAGCTGTTGCCAGTCACCAGTTTCTACTTCAGAGGGAACAATTCTTTCCTGGGAGTTGAAGGAAGGGAAAGGAGGAGTGACTCACCAATCTACAATTCTGAGGTAAATGTGCCTCTGAATAGCAAAGCTACAAGGGCTTGAGTCAGAAACATCAGTAGGAAACACGGAACTCAGAATGACCCAGACACAGAGCAGCAGTTTCGCCCTTCCAGAAATGCCTGAGAGGTGATACCACACTCTAGTGGTGATACTACTATCGAATAAAGAGGAGAGGAGCAAAAGCCAGCATTCCAAACAAGGCTTCCCTTCCTCCCCAGCAGTTACACCAAAAGTTCACCTATCCACACTCCACCGTGCTAAGCAGAAATACCTCTCCCTACCTGGGGGACAGCTGAACCTTTTCTCTAAGCACAGGTCCTCCAGGGAAAGAGAGGCTGGTACTCTGGGTCACTGCTTTTACTTTTCCCAAGCCCAGTTCTCCCAGTGTGTAGCCTCCGGATCCCACTCCAGCAGAGTCAGCCCTTCCTCTCCACTAGGTTCCCCAGGCTGAGGTTGGGCCTTCATTTGACTTGTCCCTGGTATCCTGTCCTTTCTTCTTCTGCCCTAACGGCAGGGCCCACAATGAGGAGCAGCCCTGGAGGAAGTGGGCACACATGGGCAACCTATACATGCCTCCCAGGGGCAGAGGACAGACTAGACACTCAAGAAAAAGCCCCTACCTTTTGACTCTTGCCATTTGGAATCTCTCTGCTTTCCTTCACCTACTCTACTGGGGGCAGCATTCTGGCATTCCTCCTTTTTGTTTGTTTCACCCACTGAAAAACAACACTGCCTGGCATTCTTTCATCCTCACAAAATCCAAAGGGGATAATAGCTGTTCAGCAATAATCCCTTTGTGTATATGTAGCATAGCTATTATCCTGGTAGATCTTCATGACAAGGGTAGGACAAGTATTACTACACCCTCTTTCCCCCCACCCCAGATGAAAAGATGTGAGCTGCTAGCCTAAGATCACAAACAAGGCAGAGAGGGAGCCCAGCTAGAACCCAGGTGGGGTGGCCTGGCTCCCATTTCTGTCCTCATTTGCACTAACCAAATCACTCCCCACCAGGTCAAGCCTGCTTTAAAAGTTACAAGGTCAGTTCCTCTACGCCGTGGACATGTTACTTTCCAGAAGCCACTGTCCTGTCAGGCTAATGCAACGCCATCTCAAGTTCTCTCTGAACCACTGTTGATTGGTTCCCTAAGACACCCCCAAGCTCAGAGTGCTGCTTTCAGAACTCTTCTAGTGCCGATATGTGATTATTGTGGGAGTATCATAAATAAAATAGAAAATTAGGGGGAGAGAAAAGAAAGGAAGGAGGAGTAGGGGTGGGGACAAAGCAGCTTCAGGAAGCTTATGAGCCTGACAAATACTGTCATTGACAAAACCGTTACCAATGCAGTCACTGTCCCAGAAGAAACTTCTAGGTTTAGGGGGGAAAGTATAGGTACAGTATAAGGGTTGGTAAAGTCTTTAGTACTGAGTACCACATAGAACCCAAAAATGACTGGGTGTCATCAGCAGTTCTAAGAAACAGGCAGAAGTGGAATAAGAAAGGGGTAAGAAAAGAAGGAAAAATGAAGAAAAATGTAAATAGAAGAATCAAAAGAAAAGAAGTGAGAGAAAGAAGAACCTAATAGGGAAGAAAAAATTTAAAAGTAAGTAAGACAGTAGATTCTGAAGCAGCATCCCAAAGAGTTCTTGTGTCATAAGGTACCTGATATGCTAGATCCAGGAGTAGAAAAGCAATCAGGAGACTTTGGTTCTATTCCCAGGTTCCACCCCTGACCCTCTTGTCATCATGGAAAATTCATTTCCCCTCTTTGGACCTGTTTCCTTATCCGTACAATAGAAAGGAGATGTGATTCCTAAGCAGTAGGAGTAAAAGAGAAAAAAAGAAATTTTTGTAAAAGTTAAGAACAAATATTGTTTAAAAAAAAAAGAGGATTCGATTTGCCTCTGGTCTAATCCACCCCAAGGTTTATGTTTTTGTGATAAGGAATAAATGAGTGGTCAATACATCTAAGGGCAGGGAAATCTATCTCTGCCTTTCAAAGACTGAGCAAAATGAATTGCCTTTATAAGACACCAATGCTGATTGTAATAATTCATTTCTTTTACACTTCCCAAAACATGAACCTCCAGGGGAAAAAGAGACTCCTATAGAACACATACTGACACAACTATCCACACAAGCACAAGAATAAGACAGATAAACATACAGGTGCTGACACAGGTTGACTAATGCACAAACCAACCGACTACACACTCAGCCCCACACAAACCCATCTAGAGACAGAGGCATGCCCCAGCAAGCAAGCCTCATTGTTCCTCAGGAAAGAGAGTTTACAAAGGAAACAAAAACTCTTATACACAGCCGGGGGAGGGCAGAGTTCTGGCTCTGAAGAGAATCCAGCCAACCAACAGACACATCCTCCCTCTGGGAATAGTCACTCAGTCAACAACATTTATTAAGGACTCCTGAGCTAGTTATCCCAGAAAGGTACTTTACAGGTTTCCAAAGTCTACGCTGTGCTCTGAGAAATTTCAGATTTCCTTTTCAAACTCCGTATCCAGGCACTTAGCAACCAGGGCAATCCTAAGACTCAGAGGGGCTAGAGACCCCTTCAGCAAAAGCCAGGGAAAGAGACTTCCATCCCAGTCCACCTCCAGTAGACCTTCTCTGAGGACCCTTAAGGAGCCAAGGGAGTCAGGAGATGAGAGGCTCACGGCTTCTCCTGGGTCGTCCATGGGCGTTGGGTGCGTGTTGGGGGGCAGAATGGCCTTCCCAGGTGCGTGTGGCGGGGGACGGCGGGGTGGATGTGTGTGGGAAGGGTCCTGCGCCCGCTGGCCCTCACCAGCATGTGAGGATAGCGGGGAGTGGAATCTGCCCTCCCCGATATTTCTGGGGTGTGTGCAGAAGGGTCAGCTCCCTTCCAGTGGGTCACAACTCACCAGTGGGGGGAGGGGGGCCAACCACTCCCCAGGGTGTGGGGGAGGGGAAAGAGGGCCCAGCAGGGGTGGAAAAAATTAAGAGGGTGAGGTAGGCAGGTTGCTCAACTCCTCCCCTCCCGAGGGCAAGGGGCGTGGAGAGCGCCTTCCTCCAACCTCTGACCCGACCCGTCGATTTCTCCCGAAACTCCGGGAACTTACACAAGATAGCCAATATGAAGAGGTGCAACTGTTTCCTCCCGGCTTTTGCCTTTGTCCCCATCACGATCAGGACCCCGATTCCACAGCCGCCGCGGGAGCACGGAGAAGAGACGCAGCTCCGCGAACTGCCGCGCCGGGACTGAACTCCGGCCGCCAGGTCGAGCCCCGCCCGGCCCTTCCCTCCACGCCCGATTGGCCGGCGCCCCTCCCCTGCACATTCCGATTGGTGAAAGGAGCCGCCGCTCCGTTGACTGATTTACCGGAGCCAGGTGCAACCCCGCCCACTACTCCCCACTGGGGCGGATTGGCGCCTTTCCCAGCTCGAGCCGCCTCTCATTGGCCCAGGAGACTGTCGCGTAAGGAGACGAATTCCTCACCTTCGGCAGGTGAGGGCCTCCGGAATGGGCGGGGTTCCTGAAGCAGGGACTTTCTGACTGGCTGGGCTCTGAGTCGGAGCTGCAGGTCTACAGGAGTGCCTTTAAGGAGGGGCTAGGGAAAGGAGTCGTGCTGCGGAACTTACCGAGACGGGCGTGGTTTGGGGTTCTTTTGTTTGTCGGAATGCAAATTGCTGTAGGAACCTTGGTCCTGTTGCTTGGCAGGTAAAAAACTCATTAATATGGGAGGTTGGGAGGAGAGGATCGGGAGACAAGTGGATTGATATCTTGACACCGCCTCCAAACCATCTTCCTCTGTCCACCCCACTGGCGGTATTCACAGGCTTTGAGAGATGAGCTGCGCGGAGAGGAGGAAAAAGAAAAGAAAGGAGAAGGGAGCGCTCAGCTCAAAAGTGGGAAAAGCCTAATCTCGTTATCTCAAGAACTTTAAACAGATGTACACAAAATACACCGAGATAATACAAACTGACCTACGATGCTCTAAAAAACGTCTCTGGGTGCCTGTGGATATGTCCTTTACACATGTTTGATCTGTTAGCAGGGCTTTACATTTCAGAATTATTAATCTTCTCACTGTAACTAATAGTAGGGTGCTAAGCCTTCTTTTTCCTCTAGACTATGTTGATACCCAAGCTTTCTGTTTATATTGTTACATCATTTTTAATTGCAACTCATGCTCGACACCTTTACTCTTCGTAGTTTCTATTTTACGATGATTTAATTTTAACTGTACTAAATATGTACAGGTTGCCTGTGGAAAAAAAACTTTCTGGACATTATCTCATTGCAAGTGAAAATTCTACATTTTTATCCAAAAGAATGATATTCTTTGACCTTTCGCCTCTTTCACTTTTGCTCTCATTCCTTTGCCCATATCTCTCCACTTCTGGTTCCACCCAATTCAAAACAATGTTTATCAAACACCTACTGGGTGCCATAGGAAATTGCAAATAAATATAAACCACAATCCCTGACTTCAACTGGTTTACAATCTGATTCCAAGACTAATACAGGAAATAAGACAATATGTAACCCAAAGAGAAACATAGTATTACTAAACTGAAACAAGTATTTGGGTGCCTGCCAAGTACAAAGCTCTGTTCTTTACCCTCAAAGAAATGTAAAGTCTTGAAGAGAGGAACATATACAGAAAGTTAAGTATAAAAGAGTAGGGGAAAGAAAAGCTTGGAGAAGGGATCAATCGCTGTGGGCTGTGATTGTCAGGGGAAACTTCAAGATGGGGTAGCTTGAGCAGGGGGGTAAAGGAGCTCTAAGATTGATCATGGTGGGTAGGTAGAAGGGGGTCACTTTAGAGGTCATTTAGATCAACCTCTCACCCCATATAAGAATGGTCATACAATTAATGACAGTTTATACATGCTCTGCTTAAACTCCTAAAAATTCTCAAAGCAGACCATACTCTTTTTTTTTTTTTTT